TCCCCCTTGCCCTCTTCCTCTCCCTCTCGCTCACCCTCACCCTTACCCTCTCCCTCACCCTGGGGGCTCCACACCAGCCCAGCACCACTGGCCGCCTGCCTGGGATGCGCATTAACCTTCCGGAATCGTTAAATCAAACTGATACTTGAGTCCTAATCTCCAGTGAAGCATTTTATTTATTTTAATCCCCTAAGCCCTTCAGCTGGACTCTTCCTCGGGGCCTGCCATTCCGGGAGAGCTCGGGCCCCTGATGCCTGTGAGGGAGGTCCCCCAGAGGACAGGGTGCTTAGGGGTGCTTCTGCCCACAGCTCCGCCTGTGGCGGGCATTGTTAGCCCACAGCGACCCCCAGCATGAGCCGCAGTGGGAGAGTCAGGTCTCGTTTGCTGGGATCACAGGCCTGGCCCTCCTCCCGCGCACCAGTGGTCCCGCAGCAGCAATCCCCCCTGGATCGGGTCTCATCTGCAGGGGGCCTGTGAGGCGGGCTGCCCTCTCTGGAGGGAAATGGGATGCGGGAGAGGTGCAGTGCGCCGGCCACCAGCTCCCCTGTGACAGCCTGCCTGTGTTTCCAAGTGGAAATGTTTATCCCGGTGGATCCCACAGGGGCCTTCTGCTTCCCGTCATGGCCAGCACGCCTCCTGGACAGCCCTCCCCCGAAAACAGTGCCCGGGCGCTCTGTGCCCGTGGGTGTGCCCCTGATGGTGCTGGTAAGACCCAGAGGTGCAGCTCGGAGATCCCTGCCCTGCAAACAGGGAGCAAACGCTCCGTCCGTCCGTCCGCACTGGGGGGGGAGCGTCCCAAGCGATCCCTCCCGGGAAGCCGGAGACATGCGGGCACAGGAAACCCACCTCGTCCTGTCCAAGGTGTCCACTGCCAGCGGCCAGCTACCCACAGCTCGGAAACAGGTCGAGGAGGAGGCACGGCACTATATTCAGGAACATCTGACAGCTGTGTCAGGGGACAGTAACTCTATGGCCGCCGCCCGCAGGTCACGCTCGTGGCCGAACAGACTGGCCTTCAGTTCTGCAAGGCGAGGAGAGCGGAGGTGGGGAAGCCACCCCCTTTCAGAAAACTCCGGAGGAGCCGGTCACTGCTGCCCTATGGTCTCGGCCATCCCTCGGCCACGCCCCTGCCCCTGGCTCAGTGGAGGCAGACTCCCCTTCCCTTCCGTTGGCAGCATCATTCAGGATACAGGAGACGGCGAGGCAGCCTCCGAGCCCGCTGCCGCCCAGGACCCTGCAGGCTCCCGCCGTCCAGCACAACCACTCGATGGAAACACAAGCCTTGCTTACAGGAGGACCAAGCGGGACACGAAGCACCGGCCGGCTGCTGGCCCTCTCGGTGCTCCTCACGGGCCTGTGCCAACCACGTGCCACCACCGGCCACAGCTGCCAGAGGGACGCAGGAGCCTCTCCGTCATCGGTGAAGACACTCGAATTCAATCAGCCCTTCCCGGGCCCCGGGAGCCCCCGCCGTCAATGCTCACGGGCACAGGGCAGACCTGGCACCCCAGGAGGGGCCTTGGTGGGGGGTGAGCCCGGCCTGGACCTGCACCCCCTCCAGAGCGATCACAGCCCATCCCCCTCAGTGAGAGGAGCAGCTCCTCTCCAGTGTATGGATCTGGTCATTTCACCGAGAGCGAGAGGCCGCAAGGAAGAAAGACGGGAGGCTGGGCCCGAAGGCGAGGCGGGTGGCTGGCCGAGATGTCCTTCCTGGCCTGGCTGGTGTGGCTCAGCTGGTTGGGTGCGTCCTGGGTACCAACAGGTTGCTGGTCCGATTCCGGGTCAGGGCACAGGCCCGGTTGCAGGCTGGATCCCCATGAGGGGGCGTGCAGGAGGCAGCGATCGATGACTCTCTCTCTCTCTCTCTCTCTCGGATGTTCCTTTCCATCTCCCCCTTCCTCTGAAATCAGTAACAAATTTAAACAGTGTCGGGCAGGGCTCTCTCCTCCTCAGCGGCCTGTGCGGCTCCTGGGCTTTCCCCGCAGTCTAGCTCTGTGGCCGCTGAGTGAGGATTGGAGTAAGAGCTGGAGTGCACGCTGCCGCTGTCCGTGAGGCGGGCTCTCCACGCTCTGTTCTCATGTTCAGTCCGTTCTCCGTTTTCCCGGTGAGTAAGCCAGGGAGCACATACGTCTGCCTGCACCCAGGGCCTGGGCTCCGGGCGTGGGGCCCTGGCTGAGCCTCATGCCCCTCCTCGCGTCTGTCCCGGGGCCTGGCACAGACGTTCAATGTGGAATTTCTGGTTTATCGACCTACCGAGCAACACAACAAAGCACACGTCCCCCAGAGCACATCCTAGCAGCTCCCAGGGGGATGAAGTAGGTCATGGATGGAGCTTGGGGCCCAGCTGAGGTTGGCCAGCCCAGGGCCACCCCAGCCCGCAGGACTGATGTCATGTGGCTCTGCAGGGAGACCTGTGGACAGAGGTCAGCTGCTCGGAGCTGGGCTGAGGTCAGAGCCTCCCTCTGGCCGAGGTCTTAGCATGGCCTGTCTCCCCACGAAGGCCTTATGCACTGTCAGAGAGTGGGGTCGTGGGAACAGAGAGGGAGGGAGGGAGGGAGGGGACAGGTAAGAGGTGTGAGTTAGGAGGTGGCTCACATACTGAGCTTCAGCACTTTGATTTTTAAAAGCATAGCCATTACTTGATGCGTGTGAGGAGCAAGAATCCTGGAGCAGATGAGCCCACAGAACCGTCAGGAAAGGGGAAGTAAGAGACCTAACGCCGAGGAGGGGAAGGCAGGCCTGCAGAGGCCAACCTGGGACCCCACATTTCCCCAAGGGGCTGCCCGGAGCCACAGGGGTGCTCAGCTCTGGATCCACACACTGCCCCGGCCTTCACCTCGCTGTCACCGCCCCATCTTGAGGCTGATTAACTCCAGTGCGCAGCTCTGCCAGCAGCCGAGAACTTAAAACAAAGGGTCTGCACAAAGGAATCCGAGGGCCCCTCCTCCTGCTTCTTTAAAACGATTCCCCCACCGCCACCCCCCACCCCACGCGTAGTCCCTGACGGTTCCTCATAAATCACTCTGCAGAGCCAGCCTGCGGGAGCGAGCCTGCCTGGCTGCCGCTGCGCCCGCTCCCATCTGCCAGTTACGCTCGAAGCCTCTCGAACATGCATTGTCTGGGACGCAACAGCCAATTATGCCTTCAGGTTTTGTGGCATAATATCGCAGAAACCAGCAATTACAGAATCAGAGTGGCATCAAATGGGGTAGCGGGAGTGAGTCCCGATTATTCTTTAAATAGCAGTTACATGAACTCATAATAAATAGGTATTAAGTGGTAAATGTATGATAAGTAATTCTTGACAATGCAGTTACCCAAACAGAAGAGGGAAGCGTGGCAAAATGGCACTGTCAGCCTCTTCCGTGGGCAGCGCTGGCGACCCAGAGCCGTGGCGGGACGTGGCCTTTGTCCCCGAGGCGGCGGCAGCGGCGGCACAAACGTGCAGCTGGTTCCTGGGGAGAAGGTGGGTTTTCAGGAGAGCAAAGACTCCCCCCGGGTCAGAACGTGGCCGACCAGAAAATTCCATGACAGTGAGCTCTGCTGAATGCACAGCCATCGAACCACACACGCATTGAGGAGTCCCTACCGTGAGATAACATGCGTGTTCGTGGGTAGCCTGGTGCTTGGCCAATGGCAGGTGCACAGACATGTTTGTGGAACCGCCGGGCACATAGAGACAGGGCTGCTGTGTCCGCTGTGTGGGTTGTGCCCTGCGCGGTTCTAGGGAGGAACGCCCGCTGGCCTACCCTTGCGTAGACTGACTCTAGGTTTTTCCCGTGGACGCGCTCTGGCCAATGGGACCATGAGAAGGTGATGCGGGAGCAATACCCGGGGCAGGTACAGGACGGCCTGGAGAGCTTTAGGGTGAGTTCGTGCACCTGTGAGACACCCCGAGGTAAGATGACTTCCGAGTGTTGAGCAGAAGGGAGCAACGAAAGATGCACTGCAGCGAGAGTAGTTCCAGGGGGTGGGGGCACTCAGGGGGGCCTTTCTGAGAAGGGGATGTTGGAGCCGAGCCTTGAATGTCAAAAGGTACCTGATCTGGGGGGAACGTGTCCCAGGCAGAGAGAACAGAAGTTACTTGAGGAGGACAAATGTGGGCCTCAGAAAGAAGGCCAGGGTGTCTTAGAAATAGAAAGAGGGGAGACAATGGTGTAAAATTAGGCCTGAGGGGTTAGGAAGGTGCCAGAAAATGTAGGGCTTTGGGGCCAGGAAGAGGAATTTTGAGGACCTAGTAAATAAGCGTATTGAATACCTAGTAAATAAATGCCTAGTAGTGACCTAGGCATTACTAGTGGTCGGCAAACTGCGGCTCGCGAGCCACATGCAGCTATTTGGCCCCTTGAGTGTGTCTCTTCCTAAGCCTTAGGAGTACCCTAATTAAGTTAATAACAATGTACCTACCTATATAGTTTAAGCTTAAAAAATTTGGCTCTCAAAAGAAATTTCAATCGCTGTACTGTTGATATTTGGCTCTGTTGACTAATGAGTTTGCCAACCATTGACCTGGGAAATAAGCAGGAGCTGTCACATTTCTAATCTCATGTCCTCTCGGCAGGATCCTGCTAGTTTGGGACTTAGGTTCCCACTTTATGTGGTTCCTGGCACAGATCAGGCACCCAGGCGATATTTGTGAGGAGAAAGAATGAAGGAAAACATAAATGAAAACAAGGGATAGACGGAGGCACAAGCTCAGAGCTCTCCCTCTCTCTCTCTTTCTCTGAAATGCCCGCCGTGGGCTGGAAGAGGGTGATAAAATTGTCATCCAACGATCGAAGAGCTTCTTCGGGCTCACCGAAACTGCAGAAGTTTCTTAATTCAAAGCGATATCCTGACAGCAACGATTCTGAGAGAAAGAGAAGTCACTGCAAAACACAGGCTATGACAGACTTTGAGTTGAATGCAGCCCAGCAGCCCACAGCACTCCTTTGGCTAATTGTGGGCGGAATTATTTGAGCAAAACATTTTGTGCCTACAAGCAGCTGCAGGTGCAGGCAAGGAAGCTTCAGGAACCTTCGCCAAATATGGTCCTTCAAGTTCCCCCAGACGTTGGCACCGGTTCCCTTCCCTGGCAGTGTCTTCAGTCCCCGCTGTGACAGCGGAAACGCTGTGCCGGCTGTGAAGATTTTGGCAAGTGTGTCCACTCGGGCGAATTCCCGCCTCCTTCCCTCTCAGCAGATGCGAGAACACAACTGAATGAATCTCCGAGTCTCTTATTTCAGGGACTTCTTAGATCAAGCCCAGAACTTCAAGAGTCCTCTATCCTTTGTACCATTCATTCAACCCATGTTTTAAAAACCTCCAAGCACTGTGTAGGCAGCCAAATGGGCACAGTTCTGACCCTCAGAGAGCTAACAGCTAATTATGTAGGCAGTTGTTAAGTAGTAATTATGACAAAGGCTATGAGTAATAAGTGCAGAGTGCTGAGAATGGGAGATGCTAACTTCAGCAAAAAGATCAGAGAATCCCCTGGGGAGACACATTTTGAACTGAGTTTGGGACAATGAATAGAAATGAACCATGTGTACCCGATTAGTTTAGTAAGACATGGAGACCATTCTAAACAACGGGACTTAAAAAATCCTGGAGCGGGGAGGATGTGGTGCATTGGAGAAGTTGAAAGACCAGTGTGGCTGGAGGTTAGGTTAGGAAACGAAGGAGAACCTGTAAAGATAAAGAGAGGAGGCATATCCGTTAGGGTATTGTGGGTCATGTTGAGGAGTTAAACGCTTTATCTGGAGAGTGATAGAATAGTAGAGTGAGAGCTAGCTATGCTACCTATAGCTTCAAAACAAATCAGCCCACATCTCAGTGGCTTAACAGAATGATCAATTGTAAATCACCTGTTTATGGATCATCTTGGAATGACTGATCTAGTTGTGCTGAGTTGCTTATGGCTGTGCTCACCAGGACTTACCTGTGTTTGGTTGATCTTGGTTGTGCTTGGTTGATGTTGGCTGTGCTTGGTTATTCTTACCTATTCTTGGCTGATGTTGGTTGCACTTAGCTGTGTTTGGTTGATCTTGGCTGTGCTTGGCTGATCTTGGCTGTGCTTGGCTGATCTTGGTTCATCTTGGCTATTCTTGGTTGATCTTGGTTGTGCTCAGTTGTTCTTGGTTGTGCTCATGTGCCTGCAAGTCAGCTGGGAGCTCTACTCTAGGATGAGCTTGGCTGGAGCATCTTGCCTGGAGAAGTCTCATCACCATAGGATCAGGGTACTAGCCCAGGAAAGTCTACTCCTAACAGGGCCTAGAAATCGGCCTGTAATATATCCTGAAACTTATTTATCATCCTGAGCCTCCCTCCCCAACCACAACAAAACTCAACAATCTTTACTCCTCTATTGTCAATTTTCAAAACCATCCCCTCTGTCTATTTTACTCCTTAGTTTCCATTTCTGTCATCTCCTCTCTGAACTACCATAATTGTCCTAACATCCCTTTTGTATCTTCTCCTCCCATCTACCTTCCACATTGTCCTCAGAGAGGCTTCTACCTAATCTCTCCCACAAGATAAGGTCCCCCCCCTCCTTGGCTTGCCATTCGAGGCCCTTAAGATGGTGCCATATTTTCTCTCATGCTCATTCATGCTCCACACTCTCTGCCCCATAAGTCTGTGATCCAGACACAGCTGAGCCCTGCCTATCCCTTCACTCTCGTGTGTTTCTGTGCCATCTGGGAAGCAGCTCATCCTTCGAGACCCAACTCAGCAGTCACCACCCACTTGCTATTGCCCATCCTCCAGGGAAGAACTATCGGTCCTTATTCCAGTCCCGTCTCCTCTTACAGAGTTGGGGGTGTACCTCATTCTTGCCCAGGTGC